AGGACAAGAGCCCCGTTGAGTCTTCTCAGACCCCTACCTATTCCATCAGGACCCAAAGACTCTGTGTCCATCGCCTTTATGGATGCCTGGGTCAGGAGTAGGCATGGCAAGAGCCAAGTCATGGTTGTAGCTGATAGGTTAAGCAAACATGCAGTTTTCGCTCCTTCGCAAGGGCTCGTACCGACCTAGTAATAGAGAAGTTCTTTGATCATTGGGTTAGTGAACATGGTCTACCGTTGTCTATAGGTTCACTAGTCAGAACTAGCAGGAACTAGAGCGTATGGTTCTAAGTTGCTCATGTCATCTGACCGTCATCCAGAGACCAACGGTCAGAATGAATAGATGAATGAGATCCTGCAGCAAGTAATGCAGATCTGTAGGTTAGAAGTCTTAGCAGCGGTAGCGTTTGTAGCCGCTACAGTACCGAAGGGTCAAGGTGGTAGCTGCTACAGTACCGAAGTGTCAAGTCCACAACCTTCCAGAAGGTCCTGAAGTGACCCTTCGTGTAGTCTTAGGCGAAGGTCTGTAAGCAAGTGGACAAGTTAGTCCAACCTTGCTTAGTCAGCGGTACCCAGTCCCAGTCTCACTTTGTCCAGTCAGCAAGTACCATGTGGGACTGTGTGCACCCTGGGCCCGGTGGGAAGGAGCAGACCAACGACCAACCGAAGTATAAATCAAGAGGCAGCGTCCAGCCATGCATTCATTCTACCTGTGAGCCGTGCAGAAGCGCTGCCTGAGCGTCTTGTGCAAGGACGTTTGCAGGTGCCCGAAGGAGAAGTGGGCTGCGAGGGAGACAAAGTGGCCATAGCCGCTAGGAGGTAGGAGGTAGAAGGCAGCCATAGCTGCCATAGGTTAGAGATAGGCTGTAGCGTGCATGTGTGAGCGTGTTGCGTGAAGTGTATGAGTGTGTGTGGGACACCCAGGGACATCCAAAGTAGCGTAAGTGTGAACAGTTGCCGGGAGTACAGTGTCGGCTGGGTGTTGTGTGGGCGCAAAGGCGCCATAGCCATCGGAAGCCAGTTCGAATCTGAACTGTGTTCTTGGCCTAGATATCCCTAAAGCTTTGTGTAGGCGCCTGGTGCCAGTGTGATTGCCATCTGTTTTCATGCATGTTGAGTAAGGAAGAAGACGAGTCTGGTTGCAATGTGGTGAGTAGTTGGAGAAACACTGTGTTGCCCGCTCTCCTGGAAAACCATTTTTTTTTTTTTTTTTTTTTTTTTTTTTTTTTTTTTTTTTGTTTTTGGCAGAAGGCCATGACTGTGTTCTTTCAATTCGTGTACCCTCCCCGGATAGGACGCTTATACATTCCAGCAAAAGACAAACAACATCAACAGAAAGAAAACTGAAACAAATATGCCATTTTAAGCAGGGTTGCAAGCCTGCCGACCGCCGACCCCGACTGCCAACCGTTTTGCAGCTGACCAGTACGGCTGACCGGTCAGCAGTCTGCCGACCAGTCAGAAAACAGCCAGCCACTGAATTTTTTTCAAATCTGAGTAGAGCCCAAATCTGCTGAGAAACTTTTAGGGATGCGGGAGGTGGTAGTGGGAGGTCAGGGGGGGTACCAGGGGGGTGTGGGGGAGTTAAACGGGTACTGGGGGGGTAAGGAGGGTGCTGGCTGACGTAGCCAAACGTGCCTTCTACAAATTCTAAGGGCACAGAAAAAAAAAATTAGGACCACGTATTCCTCGCTGAATCTAGTTTTCTTTTTCTGAAGGGCCCCCGGCAGAGCATCTGCAGGGCTCTCATGTCTTACCAGAGATTCGTCGAATACCAGCCAAGAGAGGAACAGGCCAGCAATATATCTTCTGGATCGAAGTCAGGTCTGTGTTCCAGCGGTTATGGGCTATACAACAACTTGCTACCGGTGCTCTCTTTCTTTTGTTTTCCTTTTCCTACGAGCAGTGGCCCTAAGGGCCTAGCTTCACTCGTCACCACTTGCACAAAAGACAAAACATATGGTGGCGTATGATTCCATGTTCTAGCAGAAGATTCATTCTAGTTTTGCACATTTGGTGAGTAATGGAGGGAAGCCCTGAAAATCACGTGGTGAGCTGGCCTGCTACAGCCCAGATAATCACGTGCTCAGTGGTCCCATAACTGCTGAAACACGGACCTTAATGTGAATCTACACCATATCTAGTTGGCGTGCTGCTGCCTTG